TCCTGACCTAGTACAACTGGAGGCTCTTCCTGAGGATCTTCAACAGCGTTGGCGCCGTCTTCGCACATATCTGGCGACACAGCCTCCATCTCGAGTATGGGCGGTCCTGAAGGCGTTATCGGGAGCCTGGACTACTACCACGCGAATGCATGTACCCCCCCCCCCCCCCCCCCCCCCCAGCGCCGTGATTGCATATTTGGCTGCAGACGCTCTGATGCTGCACAGCAGTATCTCGTCTGTCATCGACTTCTTCATCATATAGCTCAGCCTAGAGGGCAGCTAGCCACCGACATTCTCACACGGCTTGGCCTCCCGTCGATCGTTACCTCCTACGACGGGAAGAATGGGGTCGCCTCCTCGGCTCCACGTTTGGGTGTCGCAAAGAGACTCTACCACATCCTGAAGGACTCCGCCAACGTGGGGTGCATCGCGCCGACAGTTGGATATGCGGCCACTCGTGCTGCTCGGCACGCCCTTCAACTACCTTGTGACGCAACGTGAGGTGCTGGCCGCCGCGCTGGACTGACGCCCCCGTGCCGCCCGCGTGCGGCCCGCGCGCTGCGACCTGTGCCCCTGTCTGATGTCGCGGGCAGCCCCGCCGCCCCCGTGCGCGCGGCCATCGCGCCGCGCCCCGTGCCCGTGCAGGCTGCGACAGGCAGCAACATTATTATTAGTGCTCGCGCTCCGCGCTCGGCGCCCCACGCCCCGCCCGCGAGCCGAGACGGCGCGCCCCCAATACAGAGGGGGGACCACTAACCGAAGCGAGCCGCTCGCCCCCCACGCTTCGTTCACTCCTCGTCCTTTTGCTGCCCCTCCCCCTCCCTTACCTCCTCCCCCCCCCCCCACCGCGCCCGCCCCGCCCCGCCCCGCCCGCCCCTCCTACCCCGCCTGCTCCTGCGCCAGATCTTGAATGAGACGCGGCAGGCTGCGTGAATCAGACGGCGCCGATGCACCTACATCCGCGGGCAGCTTGCGCGCGGGTGAACGCGCAATCGATCCCCGCGGCATCGCCCCAACTTCAAACTTGGCGGTGCAGCGGGCCGCTCCCGCCAAAGCCCCGCCCCCCTCCTCGGGGGCGGTTGGCCCGCCCATCCCGCTAGCAGACCTTGGAAGCCTTGAATGAGGAATTCAGTGTCTGGGGCCTCGTGAAGATCCACTTGCGTGGAACGGGGGGGGGGGGGCAGAAGTTGTCCACCCCCAAGCATTGTGAGCTCTCTACCCTCCCTCCGTCTCCTCCCCCCCCCCCCTACTCCCTCCTCCTCGTCCCCGCCCCCCCCCTCCCTCCCTTCTCCTTCCCGCCCGCCCTCCGCCTCGGATCCCCTGGAGGAGGGCGGCAGGCGAGCGGCGCGTTTGCGGTTGCGCGCCGCGGGCGGTTTGAAATGCGTCGCCCAGTTGGGGCTGCGGTTGCGCGCCCGCGGGCGGGTTGAAACGCGTCGTCCAGTTGCGCTTGCGCGCCCGCGGGCGGGTTGGCATGTGTCGCCCAGTTGCGGCTGCGGTTGCGCGCCCGCGAGCGGGTTGAAGTGCGTCGCCCTGGCGCGGTTGCGGTTGCGCGCCCGCAGGCGGGTCGAACTGCGTCGCGTAGTTGTGGTTGCGCGCCCGCGGGCGGGTTGACATGTGTCGCCCGCGTGCGGTTGCGGTTGCGCGCCCGCGGGCGGGTTGACCTGCGTCGCCCAGTAGCGGTTCCAGTTGCGCGCCCGCGGGCGGGTCGACATGCGTCGCCCGGTTGGGGTTGCGTCTGCGCGCCCGCGGGCGGGTTGACATGTGTTGCCCAGTTGCAGTTGCGGTTGCGCGCCCGCGGGCGGATTGGGACGCGCCGCCCAGTTGCGCTTGCGCGCCCGCGGGCGGGTCGAAGTGCGCCGCGTAGCTGCGGTTGCGGTTGCGCGCCCGCGGGCGGGTTGACATGCGTCGCCCAGGTGCTGTTTCGGTTTCGCGCCCGCGGGCGGGTAGAAATGCGTCGCCCAGGTGCTGTTGCGGTTGCGCGCCCGCGGACGGGTCGAAATGCGGCGCCCGGTTGCGGTTGCGGTTGCGCGCCCGCGGGCGGATTGAAATGCGTCGCCCAAGTGTGCTTGCGCGCCCGCGGGCGGGTAGAAATGCGTCGCCCAGGTGCGGTTGCGGTTGCGCGCCCGCGGGCGGGTTGAATTGTGTCGCCCACTTGCGGTTGCGGTTGTGCGCCCGCGGGCGGGTGGAAATGTGTCGCTCAGTTGCGGTTGCGGTTGCGCGCCCGCGGGCGGGTTGAAATGCGTCGCCCAGTTGCGTTATCGCGCGCCCGCGGGCGGGTAGACATGTGTCGCCCAGTTGCGGTTGCGGTTGCGCGCCCGCGGGCGGGTTGAAATGCGTCGCCCAGTCGCGGTTGCGGTTGCGCGCTCGCGGACGGGTCGAATTATGTCGCCCAGTTGCGGTTGCGCGCCCGCGGGCGGTATGACATGTGTTGTTCAAGGCGCCCTCCTGATGTTCAGTCGGTCAATCAGTCAGTCAATCAGTCAGTCAATCAGTCAGTCAGACAGTCAGTCACCGGCGGGCACGGAATTTCACCCGGCTTCGCCGGGAAAGAAATCCATAGAAATCTCCCTGTGTCCTTAGGTATCCATAGGAATTCGTTTGAATCCGTAGGAACCATCGAAATTCTTATAGGAAGCCCTAGGACTGTTTAGGAATCCTATGCTTAAGGTCTGTGGGAATCCATCGGAATTCCCAGGAATCCGTATGCATCCGCAAGAACCGGAGAAACCCGAATGACTTTCCAGGAATCCTTCGGAAACTCTTGGGATCCTCAGGGGTCTCCAGCAAACGTGAGGGCCTCCTCATCGGAATCCTTAGGAATCCGGAAGAATCTCCAGAGATCCTAAAGGATCCATGGGAAACCCGAATCCATTGGACTCCTGAGGAATCCGGAGGATACCTTGGGATCCTTCAGAATCCTCAGGACCCCCCAAGGGAGTCCTTCAGGAATCCATCGGAATCCGCAGGGATCCTCAGGAGTCCCTGGGAATCTCCAGGAATTCATAGAAATCGCAAGGAACCCCCGGAATTCCGAATTTCTCGGAACCCATAGGGACCCCTCAGGATCCCAAGGGATTCTCGGGGGTTCCCTGGGATTCCGATGGATTCCTCCGCATTCTTGTTCACCTGATAATTCCTATCGAGTCCGGAGGATTCGCGTAGATTTCAGGGAATCGTAGGAGTTCCTGAGGATTCTCATAGAGTCCTGCGGTTTCCCCGGAATCGCAAATGATTTTTACGTATTCGAAAAGATTCCTACTCTGGACCCTCCTGGTTTCCAACTGGTTCCTGAGCATGGTTTTTGATCCTTCAGGATCCCGGGAGAGTCCGAGCATTCCTTAGTTCCCTGATTTTCTTATGGGTTTCAATGGACTCCAGAGGATACCGACTGAGTCCGAATGATTCTTCCGGATTCGCAGGGATTCATGAGGATCAGTGGGGACTCCCTAGTCCTCAAATGAATCCATCCTCGCGATTTGCCCAAGAATCGCGCTCTCGCTTTCCACTCCTTCGATTTCCCCTTAACTTTCTCATTTCACACAGCCATGGTTGCATTTACGGTCCCGCCCGCTCAATGTGGACGCCCCATCAGTGGCTACAGCTTTCATTTGATGCTCCGCCTTCCCGACCAGCATTTCTGGCGGTAGCGATATAATGTTTAAACAATTCTTCCCCAACACAGGGTCAAGATTGCATTTAATGTCCCAACCGCCCGATATGGACGCCCCGTCACTGAGTGAATGGTTCCTTTAATGTCCCGCCCGACCGAACGGCGTCGTCGGCGGTTGTGATCGAGTTCCCTTTAAGTTTTGCATTTCAGACAGCGTAGGGTGCATATTATGTCCCGCCTAACCACATGTGATAAACCATCACCGACACATGTTTCATGTAATGTTCCGCCCGCCCGATCGCCGTCATTGGCGATTCTGATATGTTTCCCCATGACCTTCTCCCAACACAGAGAGAAGGAGGCATTTAATGCCCCGTCCGTTCGACTGGTCCACCGGCTCGTCGTTGTCTTTGTCGTTGTCGTCGTCGCAGGCGTCGCAGGCGTCGCCGTCGCCGTCGCCGTCGCCCTCGTCGTCGTCGTCGTCGCCGTCGTCGTCACCGTCGTCGTCGTCGTCGTCGTCGTCGTCGCTCCTGATGGCCGATGGACCCCCACACCCGGCCCTTTCTCCTCCTCCTCCTCATCTTTCGCCCCCCCTGCCCCGCTGGTTCCTGGGAGGGGGGGGGGATCATTTTTTTTCAAGCCAAGCGCCCGTGAAACGTGCTCTCTCACACGTCTTGAGGCGGTCTTGAAGAATAGTGCAAGCATGTCGAAGGACATCAGCAGCCGTGCTGGACTGTCTTGTGCCATTTTTGAGGCGATCTTGAGCTCTCTGGGGCCATCTTGGAGCCATCTTGGGCCAAGAAGAGCCCTCTGACATCTCGCCCCGCCCCCCCCGTCCCCCCAGTCCAGACCCAGAGGGGGGGGCATAGGGAGGGGTTAAACGGAAGCTGTTTCGCTCTCTCCCACGCCCTACCAAGTCATTCGCAGCACCCGAGTCTGAGCAGATTCAGCGGTCGCGACTGGATGGGCAGCTGCGCGGTACCAACGCAGACGGCAGGTGCAGACGGCAGAGCAGGAATCAACCGTTTTCACTCCAAGGCCCCAAGGGTCACAAAAAAACCACTCCGTAAACCTTAGCCACTTGCATTGAGGCGAGATATGGCCTGTCCACTTGCCCGTGCCATCCAGAAGGGCTGGTGGGACTGCAAGGAAGTCTGAAACGAAACGCCCGGCCCGGCCTACTTGTTTAGACGGGAAGGGCTGTAGGAGTAGGAGGCCGTAAGGTAAGGGGATGATGCTGAGGAGGGAGGAGGGGGAAAGCGAGCAGGGATGAGGAAGGACGAGGATGGAGGGAGGGAGGTGGTTGAGAAGGGGGGATGGCGGACGGAGGATGGAGGAGGGGAGGGTTGCAGGAGGAGACAGGAGGGAGGGCCCCCCCCGCCGATCGCAGCACCCCGGTGTACACGGCGGCCTCCTACAATGTGATGTCGTTCCCCGCGGCGACCGTGGAGCTCGAGCGGCTGGGAGCGCGCGCCCGCGCGCCGGGCTTGCCCGCCAGACGACGACGCAAGTCCTCGACGACTGTCGGAGGCCTTCGATGGGTTGCCTGACTGTCCTTCGGCGGTTTTCGGGAGGCCCTCAGAGGCTCCCGGAGGTCCCCGAGGTCTCGGAGGCTGCCGCCGCCGCCGCCGCCGTCGACGAGCGGCGGCGGCGGCGGCCGTGTCGGCGGCGGCGGCGGCCGTGTCGGCCGCGGCGGCGGCATCGTCTTCGTCTTGGACGTGTTGGTTGTTTCGGGAGGCTCTCCCGCGGCCGCGCCGCGGCCCGGGACGCGGCGCGGAAGAAGCTGGCCAGGGCGGGCCCCTGCCTCGGAAGTTGCTATAGGCCCCCGGTCCGGTGCGGGTGCGTTGGTCGGAGCCCTGCCGGCTCGGAGCGACCGCGCGGGATATTTTTTGTAGTTCATTTTTTCGGGGGTGGACAGAACCCCAACCCTGACACGTCGATTAGTGAATTGTCCGTTTTCGGTTCTCGAGAGGGCGTCGCGGCAGTGATTTTCCAGGCTTGCGCACGCCATGTTTGGGCCCGAGGTCGATTTCACTAAACCACGTTTTACTAGAGGGGGCTTTGTCCATACCCGACGTTTGGCGTCCAGAGGCTGTTCCCAGGCGCCAGTGCCGCAAAACAGCGGCTCGGGAAGAGCACAGGTCCCACAGAGGGGGTTTCGGGGGCTGGCGACCCGGGCGGAAATCGAGCCATCGGAGAGGCTCGGTGTCTGACTACTCCACGAGTGCTGCTTGCGGGCAGGGGCGCTGGAGCCAACACATGATTACTCATCCATCGTTGAAAGTAGGTATTGTTGGATTCCTAGATTCCAAGAGTCCAATCTACTTTAAGAGCATTCCTACTTCAATGATCGGGTGGCTGCACCTTTTCCGTCCCCTCAAGGGGGCGGACGGAACCCAATCTATTTTCATTTCCTTCCTATTTCACGTTTCTACCTACTTCTTCCGACCGATGGGTAAAGGCCCGCCCCCCGGGGGGGAGGGGGCAGGGACTTCTCGAACATCAGCGGAAGCCGTCCTCTCATCCGCGAGGGCCGTTTGAATTGGCGGCGCGCAAAGGGGGGTAGGGGGAGGGGGGAAGGCTTCTTAGAAACACCCCTGCTTCTCAGATGGCGCGGGCCTTGTCTACAGATGTAAGGCCCGCGCCTTTTGAGAAGCAGCCTCCTTCTAAGAAACCTTCCCCCCTTCCCCTAGCCGCCAACAACCGGCGCCGAGGGTGCGAATCCGCAGCTCCGCAGCAGTGCCGACCCTGGCAGGGCTCGTTTCGATCCCTCCGATTCGGATCGACACTCGACTTGGCTGGCTTCCGATGCCGATCCGATGCGACTCGGGATTCTGGTGTGGTCTCCGACTTCTGATTGGAGGCGTAGTGGCCTGCCGATTTCCACCGACTCGACTTCACCAGACTCGGCTGCCGGTTTCCGCCGATCCGATGTCTTTCGATCGCCGATCCGACTGATCGATTCGTTTCTGGGCGCCCCTGCCTCGGAGCCCAGGCGTGTGTTTTTTGTGGCCTGCTGATTTCCACTGGTCCGACTTTACCCAACTCGGCTGCTCCCTTCAGCCACCACCCACCAAACCAGCCCAACCCGACCCGAAGGCCTCGATCTGCCCTCCACTTCCAGGGTGGGGGGGATCGGGGAACCTTGAAAAAAACACACCTGGAACCCGCCCCCCCCAAAACCCGAAATTCGGGCCTTCTGGTTGGGTTGGGGTGGTCTGGTACAGTAAAGGTCGTTCAGAGCCCACGCACCGCCCCCCCCCCCCCCATCCTCCTCATCCCTTCCTCCTCCACCGCTCCTCCTCCTCCTCCTTCTCCTCAATCCTCCTTCTCCACCTCCTCCTCCTCCTCCTTCATCCCCCCCCTCCTCCCCCCACCTCCTATTCCTCCTCCTCCTCCTCCTCCTTCCTCCTCCTCCTCCTCCTCCTCCTCCTCTGCTCCTCCTCCCCCTCCTCCTCCTCCTCCCCCTCCTCCTCCTCCTCCTCCAGTCCTTCCTCCTCCTCTCTCCTACCTCCTCCTACCTCCTCACACCTCCCGTCCTCCCCCTCCTCCTCCTCCTCCTCCTCCTCCTCCATCTCCTCCTCCTCCTCCTCCTCCTCCTCCTCCTCCCTTCTCCTCCCTTCTCCTCCCCCCGATGGGCGCGGCGCGCGGGGCTGCCGGCGGTGGCGCGCCGCTCGGCGGGCCGCCTTCCCCGCGCACCTGCGAGCCCAGAGCAGACCGGAGCCGTCGGGCCGCTCCCTGGGCGGCCTTCGGGCGGGTGGTAGCTCAGGACGAGAAAAACACACAGACATTACGCTACCGAGGAACCCCAGATACTTTTTTTTGCTATGCGCGTTCACATACAATATCGTGCTTCGCCGTCCTCCACACACCCTCGCACTAGCTGCACCCCCAACCATCATCAGTCATATATTACGCAATCCACGCCAGACGAACCAAACTGACCAGCCAGACTGACCAGACAAGCAACATCAGCCAGACCAGCCAGATCAGCAATCTCAGCAATCCCAGCCAGACCCAACCAGGCCAATCAATCAAGAAGGGTGGAGAGGAGGAGGAGGAGGAGGATGAGGAGGAGGAGGAGGAGGAGGACGATGAGAAGGACGAGGAGGATGAAGGGGAGGGAAGACGGGGAAACGCCGCGTCCAGCCTTGGCGGCGAGGTCCCCCCCTGAGGACCCAGAGGCCTCGAGCATGGACCGGGCCGTCGAGCCCCCCCACCGAGGGTCAGGATGCATCGAGCCGCTCCCTTCCGAGGCCACCGCGCGGCCCACGAGGCCCCCTGCACCTGCTCATGCTGCTGCTGCTGCTGCTGCTGCTGCTGCTGCTGCCGCTCATCCACCCCTACCATTCCTCCGCCTCCTCCTCCTTTTCGTCCTCCTCCTTGTCATCCTCGTCCTCCTCCTCCTCCCTCCTCCCCCTCCTCCTCCTCCTCCTCCTCCTCCCTCCTCCCTCCTCCTCCGCCTACCACCTCCTCCTCCCTTCCCTCCTCCTCCTCCGCCTCCTCCTCCTCCCCTCCTCCTCCTCCTCCTCCTCCTCCCACTAATCCAACTCCTCCTCCTCCTCCTCCTTCTCCTCCTCCTCCTCCTCCTCCTCCTCCTCCTCCTCCTCCTCCCACTCCACTCGTCATCGTCATCGTCGTTGTGATCGTTTGCGTACTTGTCGTGCTCGTCGTCGTACCTTGCGTACTCGTGGTGCCTGTCGCCGTACTCGTCGTCGTATTTCTTGTCGTCGTATTTCTCGTCGTACTCAGAGTCGTCGTCGTACTCGTCGTGATCGTGGCACGCGTCGTCGTAGTGGTCGTACTCGTCATCATACTCGTCGCCGTACTTGTCGTCGTAATCGTCGTCGTCGCGGTCGTCGTCGTGCTCATTGTACTTATCGTACTCGTCATCGTCGTCGTTGTCGTACTCGTCGTCGTACCTCGTGGTCGTCGTACTCGTCCTCCTCCTCCTCCTCCTCCTCCTCTTCCTCCCTCCTGTCGCCCCGTCCTCCTCCTCCTCCTCCACCGCGCCTCGGCCCCGCCTTCCCCCTCATTGGGTCCCGTCCATATCCATCCCACCTCCTCCTCCTCCTCTTTTCCCTCCCTCTCCTCCTCCTCCTCCTCCTTCATCCTCCAACCTCCCATCCTCCTTCTCCTCCTCCTCCTCCTCCTCCTCCTCCAGGTCCTCCTCCTCCTCCTCCTCCTTGTCCTCCTCCCCCTTGTCCTCCTCCGACGCGTGCGACGACGGTTTCTTCGCGGTTCCGAGCGAGCAGGGAAAAAGCGCCACCTGTCCGTCGGCCTCCAGGAACAGCAGTTTTCCAAGAAAGGGGGGGGGAACGGCTGGTGCAGGTGGAGGCAGGATAATTCCTCCTCCTTTGTGCTCTCCTCCTTCTCATCCCCCTCCTCCTCGGTCCTCCGCCTCCATTCCCTCCATCCCTCCCTCCCTCTCTCCCTCGGCCTCCTCGTCCTCCTCCTCCTCCTCCTCCTCCTCCTCCTCCTCCTCCTCCCTTTCTCCCAATCCTCCTCCCTGTCCTCCACCACCTCGCCCGCGGAGGGGAAGGAGGAGGGGCGGGGGGAAGAGTGACTTTTGGCAGGAGTGACCTCTGACATCCGACCTCGCCATCGCAATGTTTTCGCAACGTCACCAGAACTCCAGAGAACCTTCTCCGGGGCACGTTTCTCGTCCCGAAGTGTGTCTTAACAGCATTGGGCCCTCCTCCTCCTCCTCCTCGTCCGGGTGCTGCTGCTGCTGCTATTCCTCCTCCTCCTCCTCCTCCTGATCCTCCTCTTCCTGATCCTCCTCCTCCTCCTCTTCCTCCTCCTGCCTCCTCCTTCTCCTCATCTTCCTCTTCCTCCTCCTCCGACTCCGAATCCTCCTCCGATTCCTCCTCCGACTCCTCCTCCTCCTCTTTCTCGTCGTC